ACATTGTAAAAGGGTCAGTTTGCTCAAATAATACATTTTTATTATGAAGTGGCTTCTCAGTATGCAAACAGTTTTGCTTATATTTACATATTATGACCATTTTAATCTGAACTTTTAAGTAATGGTCCCTTAAAAGAAGTCCCTGAAAACTATTGACTGTGTGTTCATTTGTCAATGCTGTGAGCAGAAGAGTCAGAGTTGGATACTTCTTGAAGAAATCTAAAAATAGTAGTTTCAAAGTCAATAATAGTAAAATAACTTTCAACAGAGTGCCACAGTCACCGCAGAGCAAGAAGTGGGACTCGAGTATATATTGGAAAGGCTTTTAAATGTTGGCCAGCTACGTGAAACAGTAGGCTGCAAGTCCACCGCCAAGATGGCTATATATCAATACACTATGTTTTGTTTTATAACAGTGTGGTTGCACTCAGAGACCTTTGGTGGGCTACTAGAAGTAGTTGAAAAATATACACCTAAATAATTCCAGTTACATTATCTAAGCATCTCAGAAGAAGCATATTAATGTGACCTTGAATTTGAAAATACTTTTAATAAGATTCCCATTACAATGAAGAGTTACTGTCATAATAAGTATGATGATCCAGACATTGGAATAAAGTCATAAAAACAACAGAGAAGCAGTTTCAGGAAACGCAGCTCTTTCACTTTCTGTTTCGTGATGCTGATGCTCCTCTCGTCCTGTACTTTATGAACAGCTAGTCAAAAGAGTCACAGTCACATGAGTTCACGTTTACTGAGAATTTGTTTGGCTGCTCCTCAAGAAAGTAAAGTTAAGTTTTTTAAACAGCCACCCAAGAGGTCGTAAAAGTTGCCAAATAGATCAAGAAAGTCTCTAACTTGGCAACACCAAGTCCTGGCTCCAGCTTTGTTCTTAGAACACAAATATAGTAGAGGCATTCATTCGTATAGACTGTAGGGGATCTAATACCCACGAGTCCCTTGGGTCAACATATGAGCATTCTGTTCTTAGACAAGCACAGAGAATATTATCCAACCCATCTCGTATTTTCTACGCTGAGCATGAGCTCTTAGCCTCTGGCAAACAATATAATGTACCCCAATGTAAGCTCAACTGTTTCAATAACTAATTTGTGCTGCTCTATTTAAATTTTAAACATGTTGCTTTAGGCTGTAAGGGTTGTGCTACACGTTGTTCTTTTCACTATTTGTATAAATAAGTTCCATAGTAATGGGCAATATCTGTAATGTTCAGTACATGTGCAATTAGTGGCTGTGATTGGTTCACAGCATATGAGTCCAATTATGCCCAAGGGGACATTCAAGTGTATCATATTTAATAGTATGGTATGGCACAGTAAGGTAAGGCATTGGGGTCCCACCGTCGTATCATATCATATCATGTCGTATCGAGTCTTGTCTTTTTTTTAAGGTTAATTTTTTGGCTTTTTATGCCTTTATTTTGGAGACAGGAGAGTGGACAGAGTGAGGAATAAGGGAGAGAGAGAGAGAGTGGGGAATGACATGTGGGAGAGGAGCCACAGGCCAAATTTGAAGTCTGGGTTGCTGGCTTCCAGGTCTACTGTATGGGGCCCGTAAAAACTAACCATTAGGCCACCGCTGCCCCATCTTATCTTTTTCTTATTGTATCATATTGTAATGTATCTTAATGTAAAGTATTGTGATGTATCGTATCATATTAATTCAAGAAAACTGTTCTTGGTTTGCTCAGGTTTACCTAACCTCAACTCACAGTAAAAATGTACCACTATTCAGCAATAATATTCATAAACAGACAAGATTTTTCAACCTGAACAACAAATGCATAGGCATTTCTGTTTATGTTTTTGTCCGTGGATGACCAAGAAAAGTTCATTTGTGGTTTCCCTCTTTTCTCATACTCACTATAAATTATCCCACAAGTAAAACCCCTTAATTTGTCTGTCTTTATTTTTTTTCAGTTTTGTGTCTAAAAACAGCTTGTGTAAATGTTGTGCATTGCACTTTCAATATAGCTCCATAGCAGAGTGAGGACTAGGGGCTTGACCTGTTGACCAATGAGTCTTGTGTACGTGTGATAAGCCTTCAAATAATCTAAAGTGTGACCTTAGTAGGTCAGCTCCCCTCCTCCTATCTCTCACCATCCAAAACCAATGTCATGTGTTCCTTTGTTACGCCACCTCCTATAAGTACAATACAAAAGGCCACACAAGGCAACTCCAGTGCTCGTCACAATACAGCTGAGCTGTGTCAATCCCACAAAGCTGCCCCTATTGGGAAATATCCAGTGCGTAGTTGGACACATGGACTCAGTCTCCACACCAACAGCTTAGCTTACACTGATAGAGAGGAAATTCCTACATCCTGGTTATTGATGTAATACGATTTAGAGTGAATACTACTGAAGTAGGGCCCCCACACACATTTATACTTCGGTCAAATACAGTGGTTATTCACTTAGCATTTGAGGCGTAGCTTAACATGTCTTCAATATTAAGCTTCTGGGGCTTTGTGCAACAATGTCTTTTGACTAAAAAAATATCATCACAAACCTTTTACTGCCCTCTTTGTGCAATGTTGTTTCTACTCATCTGTGGGCCTCAGACAGCAAGAAGCTACATACAACCACTACACAGATTCCAAGGGTTGGAAGTGATGCAAACAAGCAAGCCAGCTCACATTAGAAAGTTTCAACACAACCCAATGAAGGAATTCAACTATCTCTGTGTGTCAGCAGAGTGGCTAGGCAAGATGTTGCTTGTCTGAGGGAGTGCTAGCTAGCTCTGTTTTTGCAATGGCCTGTGCATCAACAACAGATCTGAAGGTGAAGAAATCTCAAGTGGCACCAAAAAAACACATTTTCAGCCACTTTTAGCTATCTTGTATAGTTATCTTGCTCGCTGTTTGTGTAAAAGTAGATCTCCATTTTACTCTATCATGGCTTTAGCCATGTAAGCCAGGATGGCCATTTTTTAATCTCCAATTCAGGACACTTTTATTTTAGCACAAACCCACATATATCGACCTGCACTAGTCACACAAGGTGGTTGGCAAAGGTGCCCTACAGAGCTGCCAGTTTATATTTGCAGTCAATGGAGTTTGCCTAAGTGTAGTAGGTCGCAACAGCGGTAATTCAAGCCTGTACCCAGCGTTTGAGTTTGCTCGTTTCAATATGGCTTTGAAAGTCAGCATTGTGTCAGCATCCAACATGGGCAACTGAAAATGAACTCTTGCAGTGTTTACAAAACAAAGCATATGCATTGCCTGGTACTTTTTGAAGTAAGCTGTAACCCTCTTGGAGCTCTTTGGAAGATGCTAACTTCCTTTACAGCATGATAGCTAGCCTACCTGTCATTTATCTGCAGGTCCTGTTAATATGATTAGCTGGGCTAATAAAGTATAGAAGCATGGTGTGTTGTTTGGTTGGTTAAAACCAGGACAAGGAATATTCAAAACCAGGAAATGTTAGTGTTTTATAGATATTAGTGGGGACACAGAGCTTGAAAACAGGACGGTCCCAGTCAAATCGAGACGTACAGTAACCCAAATGTTAGCGACATTGCTATTCGTTTAGTCAGCTTACAATTAGCTGGTTGCTACCGCTTGCTGAGTGGATATACTCCATTTTTACTGATAATCCAGTGCTTGGTGGAACTTTTTCAATGTAACAATTCACTACAATAGAGCAAATCTAGTATTATGACTAACATAGGTGTCAACAGAAGTCGCAACATCAATATCACTGCCCCTGGATTTAGGAAGATGGATCGCCAATCGACTGATATTACCTCAATAGTTTTACAAATTAACAAATGTTTCAATTCAGCTAGCATGCTAACATCCCTATGAAAAAACGTAGCCTTGTTTGTGCACCGTCAATCACATGAATATCAAAAGATAAGAAGCAAGCATTCAGGATGTAAGATACTCGAGTGAGTGTATCTTTAATTCTTTAATGAATTTGATAAATGGACTTGAGCTTGTATAGTGCTTTTCTAGTCTTCTGACAACTCAAGATGCTACTACCTTTTCAGATCTATGACCCGATGTCACAAGCTGTATCTAACACAGAGCGTTATCCATGATCCATCCTGCAACACAAGTGTGAACCACATGTGTTGAATAAGCGTTTAGTGTGTGCCTCGGCTTAAAGAGGTGCAAATAAATAAGCTTTCTGTACGCTGCGGTGAAGCTAACCTTTTCCCTCTCAGCTAAGGCCTGACAGGCATTTACTTAGCTCTGTGTTTACTGTCTGCCGTGACCCGTGGTGTGGGTGGAGAGAGACCAACAGCCCTGAACTGGGATCAGGTCTGGAAACAGACAACAGTTAGGGAGGAATGTTGCAGGAACGTGGGGAGTGATTTCATGCCTGTGTGAAAATCCATTAATCACAAATTTGCCCTGATCAAATTGAGAGGTCAAAGAAAGAACCCAAACATGCCTCTCTATGCCCCCCCACCCTTTTTTTCCCTTTCTTTCCGATTTTTTCACTTTGTTGTGTAACCGGCTCCTTCTTTACACTTAGCTTGTAATATTTGTTCTGTTCACTGAGACAGTTTGCTCACCTTATCTGTACTTTTTTCCATAAAGTGCTCTATATTTCCCCCCCTCTCTGCTTTCAGTCACAGTGTGAGTGGCTGTATTCTGGAGCAATGCCAGAACAAACAGCTTGGGCAAACCTGCTTTCAGAACAGGGTCCATAAGAGCATTTCTCCCTCACTAGCTCACGAGTGTGCGTCTGTGTGTGTGTGTTTGTTTGAGCGTGACACACTCATATGACTAAGTCCAGGACATGGTGCCATGAGTCTACGAGGTCAGCATGTACATTCTAATTTGATCTAAATGGAGCGTACCATCTACTCACATACACAAGTTCCCCTTGAACTGGGTTGGTATGATGTGTGTGTTTTTTTAAATGGGTACATTGCACACACATGACATATTGATTAGATGTACCCATGTTGGTTAATAATTGCTCTGAAGCATGCTCATAAGTCGTAAATATAGCAGTGCCCTGATAGGACCGCAGTACCAGCATCACACAATAACAGATTGATCCCCAAGAAGAACAGTCAAAGTCAATCATGAAGTGAGTGGAGCTTGATTTTTTTTTCTCTATGTTTGAAGTGTTCATATTTGTGACTGTTTAAATCAACTTTTTTTTTTTTAAACCTATTGAAGTGAGGTTATCACCGAAAGTTTATAAAACTGATTTACTCAGTTCAAGAATTTACAAGTGTGTAGTATACTGCAAGCAATGAAGGATTCTGGTGGCATGTCTCATTTGAATCATTAAAACAGCATTTGATTATTATCACCTTATAATATCAATAAGGTGTCACAGAACATTATTAGATTCACTGGGAGCCATGTTTTTGTCCGCTGGTTGAAAATGTCTATTCACTCTTACTAAGCTGAGTTTTGATCTCCACCAAGACAATGATAACTGTCTCTATAGGTGATAAGTACTAAATACTCCACCTCTGGGTCTATTAATATTATAATTCCAGTCAGGGTTCAGTGGAAACCACAGCACTGAGGCAGCTGTACTTAGCTTTGGAGACTGTTTACATTGACTATTCATCCTCAACACCTGTACAGTAGGTTGTGGAGCGCTGCAGGGTTCTGTTTTAGGTCTATCTTTTTTTTTTCTGTTCGCAAACATCCAAGCTCATGATATTCATAATCCCTTTAATCAAGTAGAGGCGATTCAATAACCTAAGAGTGGTCCAAATATTAAAGACTGGTTGACTTGAACTTTCCTCCAGTTTAATGAAAACAAAACAGAGATCTTACTCTTTGCCCGGCCCCCTTTTCAACTCCAACCATCTCCAACCAAGGAATTTACTTTACCCTCTGAGAAAGTGGTCAAAGCTGTTTTACTCTTCACCTGCTTCCTAGTTATTTTTCAGGCTTCTGTTTCCTGTTTAAACACATAAAAAGCTCTGCTGATTGTTTCTGTCATGTATTGAATTTTTTTTAAAAGGTAGAGGACCCAAAAAACAAAAAGGAAAACGGCAAACAAAAACTGACTTATTTAAATGTCCAAAGAAGATCCGCAAAAGGCAAAACAAATCACGAGGAGAAACGCTGGAATGAAGGCAGGATACACAGAAATATGGGTAAGTAGATGTAATAAACTGATACAGAAGGGAAGAAACTCAGAGACTGTAGACCGGGTAATCAAGCAAAGGTGAGACTGACAAGACACAGGTACCACCTATAGGCATGATACAAAGGGGGGAAAACTACAAAATAAAACAGGAAGCACTGAAATCTAAACTCAGGATTATCAACATTAACATACACAGGAAACAATTGAGAAATAAAACAGGAAATCACAATGAGGAATAAAAAAACTAAATAAGAGTAAATTATGACAGGGTCCTTTAAAAAAATTATCCCTATTATTACATAATACAATGTCTCCATGTCCATTTTGTGATAACTTCGTATTAACTCTAATAAAAATATCTCATTATCTCTATTTTAACCATATATATATATATATATATATATATATATATATATATATATATATATATATATGACATAAAGTTTAATTTGTGTTCAATTAAGAAGTGCTAGCATAGTCTACTTTTTAAATAGTGTTGGTCTATTAGAGCACTTTTGGGACATATCATCCAAACAGTAAGCTTGAAGAGTCACTCAAATGTTTTGTAGAGCTCATGAGCTCATTACTTTCTCTTCATAAGAAGTCTTTTTCATTCCTGTCATTTTTGGCAGTTTGTTGTTGGAGAGCAGGTTGGGGATCATGCTTGTGTTCTTCTACAGGGACTCCTTTTGGGGCGCTTCAGGAGGGAGAGGCATCTGTAGAACTTTAAAGTCTTGCATCCCAAATTGCTTATATGAGGTCTTAAATGTTTTTTAAAAAAACATTTTGTTGTAATTTTGAAGTTCAGAACTTGTTTTATAACGTGATTTTCATGCAAGCGTCAAAAGTGTCTTCTTTGTTTGATTTTTTAAAACTTCCCTGGGGATTTATATTTTAATTTATACCAGCAAATAACACGAGACAACAAAGTATTTTGATTGATTCTTCAAGGGTATTTTTTTACAGTGTAGATGTACAACAGCTTAGATGTTGGCACTGTCTTACTTCCCTGGAGACAATTCTGCCTCTCAATCAACCTGTTCTATCTGTTGTAGGAATAATGATAGAAATACGTGAATGTGGCTCCAGAGAGTCGTCAGAGAGTTGTAATCACACTCAGCAATCTGCAGCCTGTCTCCAAAGCCAAACCTGCATCTGTGCTCCTGAACAAGACAGATTGCTATCATTAATGCAAAACACACACAAAAAAAAAATGGATGCACGGATGTCACTCAAGCTGCTTAAAAAAACCCACCTCCAACAACGGTGAGTCATCATGTCAAACTCTCAGCCTCTGGGGAAGATCGTGAGAGAGGAGAAAAAGAAGAAGAAAGACAGACTGTCACATCATCATCCACACACTCAACTCCAACACAAGATTTAGATTATTATTTATATTAACACACTCAAAGCTACTTTCTGTGCTTTGAAGTCATAGCTTTGGCCGTGAATTCTGAAGCAGCATCTGAGTGTAAATTTTCCTGACATGAACACCCGGGGGGGAAATGCAACCCATGAGCTGAGAGAAGAAGCTTCAGTCCTCTCAGAGAAACCCAAACAGCAGAGATGTTACAGCTTATTTTATGCTGCTCGAGTCAACACTTGGCATATTTTTCATTTAGGGATACCAGCCTAAAAAACAGAATAAACCCTGCCTGACTGTGAAGACCCACACTGTCTCAGCTGGACAGTATATAAGCGTGTGTAAGCAGAGCTTTACTTTCAACAGCATGCTGTTATGAAATGCTAATTCACAATCCCAGCTTGTGTTTGTGTATCCATGTATTCATTATTAGCAGAGGGCAGGCGGAGTTCTGGATCATAAATGTGTGCAACCACTGGGAAATGATTTCAGGAGGAGCTTTCCTCTTCAGTCGATTGGAGCTGAGTTGCCACAATGCAGTATTGTTCGGCTATCTGCTGATATGAGCTTTCCTGTTATCCTTTTTCACCTCAGCAATAATAAAATATGGAGGGGTCGCAGGGAGGAATCAATAATATGTTTCTGGTGGGAATCAGAGTCTGTGATGAGAGAGGTTTATATTTCACCGGGCCAGACCCGGGATGAAACTCCAGCCCCGGCCTGGTCTCTGTGGGAATGAGGCAAAGGCAGAGCTGAATACTCCCTATTCATAGATGATGGCCTCTCTCTGTCTCTCTCTCTGTCTCTCTCTCCCTCCCTCTCTCTCCCTCTCTGACATGTTAACTGTCTGATGCCTGGGCCATACTTTGAATGCTTTTTGGGGGGAAAAGTTCAGAGCATTGAGATAGTTGGCATTTGTTGACTGAACTTGAAAGCGTTCGGACCTGTCACACTTAGAAGTGAAGTATGGGGGCTCTGATTAAGATTTGGCACAGACATAAGAAGCAAAGAAGAAGAAGAAGAAGAAAAAGAAGAACTGATGAAAAAGATGAGAAAGAGGTCATTGAAAAGTCAAATTGACTTATTTGGACTCAAAGCAGTAGTCTTCTAGGACATGCTTCTAGTGTTGAAGTGCATGAAATTGGTCTTGGTCTGTAGACCTCTTTTTGAAGATCTCTGTCCCGTCTCTGAAATCAAAAGCATTTTAACTTAGTCTTGTCTCGGTCTCTGACTATTTTTCCACATTAGTATGTTTAGAAAGAAAACGCCCCTTTTGAAAAAAAGAATAAAAAATAACTTACTCTCGGAGCACTCTGGTCTCAGGTATGGCTTGGTCTCGGTTAGTGTGGTCTTGACTACAACACTACTGGCTACACACTCGATGGTAGGCCCGATTTTGTAGATACACTTGCTTAGATTATATTAACTGCATCAGTGGATATATCATTTTAAGTCATTAAATGTGGCTGTCCACATTTACCCTTACAAATCTGTAAAAAATAGTAGAACGCACAAACGTATTCATTTATTGATCATTCAACGAGCAGACAATAAAAACAGAATCTTACTAGGAGAAATGTTTATTCTATGGACTATAATCTGACAGGGATAGTTTCCAGCTGTGAGGAGCATATGTGAACAGCCAGGTCGGGAGAATATAGACATTTTCCAGAGTGCAAATGTGAAAACGGCTTAATTTACTTACCACATATCTCCTGGGAGTTCTTGAGCTCACTTGTCTCATAGGTTGCTCTGGCTCGTTGGTGGGGAGGGCTTGCTGCTATGCCCCCCTCTGTTTGTCCCTATCCTTCTTCCTGCATGTCCCTCTATCCCATTTTTCAAGCCCTGCACAGTTTCGGCAGATGGCTGTTCTAACTTTGCTAAACGTTGCTTTGTGCTGTGCTGATGATGGATTAATGCTGGCTCTTTGAAACATAACAATGAGGAAGGATATTATGAACTTCATACTCAACTCTGATCACCAAGGAGTCAAGCAAAGAGAGTAAATACAAAGTGGTACATGTGTCTGTGGCACTTACTTCTCAGCTTCTCTAATAGTTTGGAAGAATATATTTAAGGGGGTCACAGTGTCATGTTGGACCGGTTGCAAGGGGCCGGTCTGAGCCAAAGAATGCCAGGGCGGATTTTTTGTCCCAGTCTAGCCTTGTGTTTAAGAATGCATTAGGACAGCTGGACACCCAGATTTAAGACGCTGCCCCATGTTTTGACAAAAAAATGTTGCTTGCTCAGAACATAAAACCACAGTTATATCTCATGTTGGGGTTTTTGTCTTTGCTTGTGTGGTGCCATCCCACTGCACATGTAGATTTGTGACTCCATGAGTTGCCCACCCAACTCATTGAAATTATAGAACACATTAACATTGCATCTTTGTGTTTCAAACAACGTGATCTCGATCGTATTTTTGTCCCATCCAAATAGTGAGGGAACTTTCTGGGCTGAGTTCACAGTGTGCAGGGGGGCATTTAAATGCTTTTTAACATAACAGCAGGTTGATTGAAGCTTAAAGAGTGTGCAAAGATGAGAAAGTTGCACATCAAACCAAACATTAAGTTGAAAGCTAATATTTTGTGAGGTTTGTCATGATGTATCTTTTTTGTTTCCAAGTGCTGCAAACAGTGTTTTTGTCCTTAAGGGCCTCACTTGTGTCTTCAAGTGTTATCTAAAGAGCTTATGACAAAAATCCCAAGGGTTGAGAGAATGAGGGTGCATTCACATCTAAGCCGTTTGGGCCGTTTGAAATTAACTCAGGTGCGCTTTGTCAGATACTTTGTTTGGTTTGGGGTGGAGTGAATGCTCAAACGAACTCTGGTGCGGACCAAGAGACCGATCTCTGGTCCGCCTAAAAACAAGGTTCTCGGTTCACTTCCAAGTGCATCAGAATTCAGTTCACCTAAGGGAAAAACTTGTTCCAGACCAAACAAGGGAACTAAAATGCAGTGCCATGAGGGCTGAATATGGCCGTCTGCAAACATTATCAAATAGGTTTGACGAGTGTGGCTAACGTTAGCATTGCTAACAACACCAGCCTTCAGTCCTCCTTGCAGGTTAACGTGCACATGCCTGTGCTTAATGTTGTTACACATTTTCTCCTGTCGATATGCCAGTTTAACCTAACCCAGCTGACATATAACTTTATCTTCATTTATTAATCAAAATACTGTCAACTTGCGCCACGCTACAGGATGCCATTCTTCCACGGTCCTGTTACTTTCGGATCATAGTGCAGCATTAGGCCGGATGGCAGTATCCACTGACCAGAGCTACAGCCCCAACTAGTGGCAGATGGCTACGGTACACAACATTTAACATGCTTTGATTCCCCTGACTAAGTGCAGTATGAAAGCAAATATGAACCAAATGAAAAATGCAACAATGTCGCAACTTCAACCCCTGAATCGCATCGAGTCCACCGGCCTTCATATGTGAAAGCGACCTAAGACACACCATCTGCATACCAATCTGTAGTTGTTTGTGTGTCTGTGCCTCTATGTATGTGTGTGCATTGTGTACTTTATGTGTATTACCTCGGCATGAGACACTGGCTACCTACTGCGTCCCTCTTTAGTTTCCACCCTGTGCTCAGTTTCACTCTATTTCAGAGTTGGCTAATTAATCATGCATTATTGAGAGACAGAACCAGGGAGTGTAATAGCCTTCACTGCAGTCCCAGCACAATGCAGAACCAGGTCTTAATGACTCCATCGTGTGCATGGCAGAGTGTGTGTGTCTGTGTGTGTGTGTGTGTGTGTGTGTGTGTGTATATGTGCGTGTGTGTGTGTGTGTTTGGGGTGGGGTGGGGGTGGGGGTGGGGGGCACTCAAGGTCAGGCTGACAGTAACTTTGAGTGTGTGTGCTGTGTTCATGTGTTTAAAGGTGAGTTCCACCAAACATCTCTGTTTTCTCTTTATTTCATGTGTTTACAGTTTTCCTTGCTCACACACATTTCTCTGTGATTGTAGTGACTGAAAACAGAGTTCTGTAATCCCTCTTCCTTGTCTTCCAGGGGAACTAGTTAGTCTGTCTGTCAGCGCTACAGGTCACCTGCACTTTCTGTTTCATAGTTCCTCCCTCTTTTCTGTTTTTCTCTCACACTACACTGACTGACAGATTGACCGCCAGTGTCCTCCACACACACACACGCACACACACACACACACACACACACACACACACACACACACACACACACACACACACACACACACCCACACACTTCCCTCCCCTCCTCTCTCCACTGGTGGATAACATGGGGCAGCGTACACGTGCAGACAAAGCTACTCCGTGACCACCCACCCCCACCCCTCTCTCTCTCTCTCTCTCTCTCTCTCTCTCTCTCTCTCTCTCCCTCTCTCTGTCTCCTCCTGTGCAAACACATGGGTTCTTGCCAGGATGAAGACCTTGCTTCAAGGGTTTAATCAGAAGCAAAGGGACTCTCGTCAACGAGCAGCAGCTCTGAGAAATAACAGAAGTGGAAAGAGTTACAGCCACTCACTTTACAATCAGACAACATTTGGAATACTAATCAAATATGAGGCAGAGAATTTGAAGAAGCCATCTGCCCATTGATTAGTACGACACTAAGGAGATCATTCTGGGCTCGGATGGTGTACATGACATGCATATCAGAATCTATATTGATTTGGCTGTAAGACTTTTTTATGAATCTGATGAAATACCTTGGTAACATTTTTGTTTTTGTCTGGCTGGACCTTATATACTGTAGTTCTGACATCACCCTTATACCTGCAATATACATTACGACTTTGAAAAGTTTTAAAGACTTAATCCTGACACCCTGTCACACATGTATTGATCTTACACTTGCACACAACTCCTGAAAAGCTCTGGAAGTTTTCAAAATGAGCTGTATGTGTGAACGCAAATTTTTCACTCTCCAGCCCCCCTGGTATTTTTTCCGCAGAAAGTCCGACTGAGCTGATGTGAGAACGCAGCAGGATATTATCAGGAGAAATCAACTCGAGCGGGTGGGAGGGGTTGGTCAGGTTTAGTCCCTGTGATATGTGAAGGGATAGTCTCCCGCTGTGAGACGCATGTGTGAACAAGCAGATCAGGAGGATTTAAGGGGCAGTCCTAAAATTTTCTAAAAATATTCAAGAGGGCATATGTGAAAACAGCTAAGGAGAAATTGTTTAAGATATAGACAAAAAGATTTAGCAAAGAGTGGCTTATGCAGGGTCAGAGTCTTCAAGGTCCTAAACTTGATTCCTGTAGAGACGACTTCTCATACGCTTTACACAAAAAAAAAACCCAACACTGGTGGAGAAACAGAAGCAGCTTTTGCCACAGCTACCTCTGGTTGTACAGCAGTTTTTGTTTTTGTGTGTGATGATGATGAAGATGGTTTTTATATTATTGATGATGATGGTAATGACGATGGTTTTTTTGATAACGACGATTTTAAGATGGTTTCTATACTGATTAGAGCTCTCAAGAACTGCCATCAATGTTGTGCTTTGCCTCTGGTCACTTCCTGTCAGCACCTGTGTGTCCAATCGGACTCAAAGCTGATCGTTTGCTCTTACTGACATTGTTCCCTTTTTTTCTAGAGCCTTGCTGGTGTTGTTCTTATTTTCTGATGTACGTCCCTTTGGATAAAAGCGTCTGCTAAGTGAATTGTAGAATCTGCAGTGAAATAAGGGGGGCAAGCATTATGAGTTTTTTTCCAAGTATTTCTTTCCTCCCTTTTTAAAACAATTAATGCTGGCTTTATCCACTGACACTAGCATCCAATTTTCCCATCTTTTTCGGTTAGGTCACAGTAACAGCAGCCATCCTCACAGCGACGGTGGCTCAGTTCGTAGAGTCATTTGTCTCTCAATCAGAAGGTTGGGGGTTCAATCCCCAGGTCCTGCTTTGTTGGTGGTGTAAATTTGTATGCATTGAATTAGTTAATACTGATGGACACTTTACATAGCAACCTCTGCCATCAGTGTGTGAATGGGTAGGTGGGACACGTGGTGTAAAAGTGCTTCGAGTAGTCAGAAGTCTACAAAAGAGCTATGCAAACTCAAGCCCATTTCCCATCCTTGAATGCCCTTCCAAATTTATTGTCTGTTTCCAGTTTGATGCTTTGGATTTTGGTTTGTTGTTAATGTAAATGCCAATAAACGCTCCAACTTTACAATGACCAGCAATGGCAAATGTCTTGCAGTGGTCAACGATCAACATTGGGAGGGACAGGCGGCAGATTAATGAAGAATTAAAATTCAGAAACATTTAAATAAAAACAAAATGAGGTTATAAAAACCTGACCAAGCATTTCATAGCATTGTTCCCACATGCAGGATGAGTCATAAACAATTCTGAATGATTTCCAGGAAATAACAATGTCTTAAACGTCATCAAGAATACCTGGAAAACTTCATCTTGGTCGTTGTTGGAACCAGACTGGAATAAAGGTGACAATCAGTGCAACACAGATGTGATTATAAATCTTTAATGTTTATTAGAATTTCACGGAAACTTGAATATCTTTCAAAGTTTGCCAATTTGCAGGTTTAACTTCTGAATTAAATGATAATAATAAATAAACAACAATAATTATACTTTACTGTTATTTATCACTTAGGGTGCTAAAGTGCTTCACAAAAGACAATGAAAGCATAAGATAAAAAATAAAAATGATAAATCTTTGGTTATTAATAATCATTACCAAATAATTCAAACATTTCTTTCACTCTCAGTTATTATTTTTACTTTAAAAGAGTGCTTAAATTAATTAAATAAGTTTACCACCTTACCATTTCTTGTGTCGTTGATATTTAAATAAGTGAATAAGTCTGTTCTAATATTTCATTTTTATTTATTCATTTATTTTAAATGTATTTAACCAGGAGAAACTCATTGAGATTAAGAATCTCATTTACACAGTGTCCTGGCTTGAATATCTTTCAAAGTTTGCCAATTTGCAGACTTAACTTCTGAATTAAATAATAATAACCCCGGACAATTCTAGTCAACTAGAATTGTCATTTCATTATGACTCTTACAACATTATTTCCTCATGTTAGCTGGTATCAGCTTCCTCTCCATGTTCACTTCCTGTTTTTTTTCCCCAGGCTTAATCAGTTGACCTTTGACCTCTGATGCACATGATCCTTCGAAGCTAAAGTCCATGCTCTATTTCAAACTCTCCTCTCTGGTTGTTTGATTTTTCTTCCATTTGAACATTTCGACGTCCATATGAACGAGAGGTCAGGATAGTATTTAGAGAAATGCTGTGAAAGCCTCACCTGACCTCACAGCACGTTGAAGGCACGCAGGCCCGCTCAGCCGCGGATAATCTGCAGTCAGGAGCCAAAATGGAACAAAGTCAAGCTCACAGAGCGAAGCAGTTCGACTCATCTATATGTCAGGCTCCAGTTACATGAGAGGTGAGCGCTCTTCACAGTATTTCTGCCTCGCTGCTCTTCATCTCTGGAAGTGGTCAAACGGATCGCTGACGGGGGGGGGAGTGACCTGGAAAACGTGACTCGCTAATAAACACGCTCGGGTGTTTGGCACACTAATGACCTGAGTGTGTAATGTGATACACTGTTGTTTTCTGCCGTGACTAATTGTAACCTCTGTTGTCCAGCTGAGGAAATCCGTCATTTGAGAGGAATTCACGTTGGGACCAATGGATTGCTCCAAGCGTGAGGGAGGTGTTTTTCTGTCTTTTAATAGCTCAGAAGGAACAGGGATTCCTATTCTTGCCAGTGATGTCTTAGGTCATGGCACAAGATACCCAAAACCTTCTGCTGACATACACACATCAGACAGCGTCGCCCTCAACCAGCCCTTCTGCAAAAAAGATGGATTACAAGGACTTGAGGAACAAAGCTATTTAAGTTGGAAGCCTCAGTCATAATCGGCCCCGCACAGCTGTAGGCAACGCTTTAGACATTAATGAGAATATGACTGATCACATGTGGAGTAATTGAAATTGATTTATCATTTGGGAGTTGGAAGTTAATGGTTACAGGAGTCATAGAGGTTATGAGCAAACACCGGTGAGATTGTGCATTATCATGGAGGCCTTAGGTAGCCCAACAGGCCAACGGAGCAGACCGTGATCAATAGTAGTAGAGACGGACGTTAGAGGCCCTGACAGCTGATTTCAATCCACCAGAGGATGGACAAGTGAGAGTGCTGAGGTGTTTGTTGACATTCTTGTATTAGACCTACAGGGGAGGTTTGAATTGATGGTTAACATGCTTACTATGGACAGAACAATCTCTGTGAAAAGATGCATAATTTGATGTTGCATGCCAAAAACTTGAAGATTTGAGTGATAAATACACACAGCCATCACATCTGGCTCATCTGGCTCGGGCTACAAACTCTGACAGGAAGTGGATTATAGCGCCGGTTGGCCCCGATGAGGACAAACCCACAGAGAATATCTATAATCTGCACATCCACAGATCTAATGGGGATCATGGCAGCAGCCTGGAGCAGCACTAAGAGATCTGAATGAGGCAGCCAGCTGTTGTAGAGACCCAGCCAGGGAGCCTAGCCCTGCTAAAGACCTGAGTTTATTGAGCACACTCATGCACTCATGGCTCATGCAGAACTTCTCTGTGCACAGCATTAAGCTCTCATGACAGAATGTCACAGAACACTATATGACAACATTACCTGTGTGCAAACTGTAATAACAGGCAGCAGTGTTTGATGTCCGCTTGGATTGCTGGAGCATGCATTTGTGTTTTTAAAGTTGCAGTGTTTTCCTCAGTCCCAGTCTGCTGGCACACCATCATAGCACAGCTAAAATAAACCATCTGAAAGCTCTGAGGCTTATAACCCGTCTGTCGCTTACATATTAGGTGGGCAGAGGAAGCATGACTTTTAAGGATAATTCCTCTCTAATAGAACTCAAGCAAAACCTCTAACATGAACTATGTTTTAGGTAGAATGGGAGATGGAGAGAAAGTGTGAAATAGCCAAAGAAGGTCAGGTTAGCCAATCGTATACTGTGATTAGCAGAGAAGATGTTCAGCGTTTTACATTTGAATTACAATGAAAGGACCTCTACAACCCTTTAGGTTGATTAAAATTAAGGTTTAAATTAGTAGCTACAATAAAAAAGGGAGATTTGTGAATTCTGCGATGTTGCTCTCTACTTTTAAAAGTAAAAGGCTTACAGCTTTCCTTTTTCGTAAAGCTTATGGTGATGGCTCAGGCTCAGCTCCTAGTTATGCTGCTTTAGGCTTAAAACCTTCTTCTTGTCTTATGTTAAAATGCTCGTTTTTACAGCAGAAATAAACATCTGTACAGCCTGTTTAAAAATGTAATACCCATAGCTCACAATGCAGCACAAACTGGAATCTGGTAGAATAAAGCTAGAGTGTGACTTTCTGTTTTATTCTTTTTCTGTTCACAGGGCAGAGAGGAACATTTAACCTAACAGTCCTTGTTCTTACACACTGGAATTACCCAGTGTGAAGGTCTAGACAGGCCTGGGGCTTGTCTTCATGGTGAACCACAGTATCAGATCACAAACATTAAAGCAAAAAATTGTTTTTCTTTCTCTCATATTTTTTGCAGCACCACAAAAGGGCCCTAAATTCTTAAAACAATATCCTACAGCTGTCACCTCCTCAAGTAAGTAACAGTGACGATCTGTTCTTGTCATTTCCCTGCAGCATGTTCCTCAGAAATCACATCCTTCCCAAAATCTTGCTCATGTCCCAGTTTCAGTGTTGTTTCTGTTGCTTGGTTTTAGCCTCAAACCTCAGCCTCACACTCCAGTCTGCTGCTCAAGAGCTAAACCCACCATATGCACTAAAATGTTGCAACCAAAAAGACATCCAATAACATCTTCAAAAAATATGGTTGAACAGAGGGCGCAGTAGTTCAGAAAACCTCTACTTCAAACTTTCAATGCCTTCTTCCACCAGCTCACAAACATATCAAAATCAGTCAAATATGGTTGGACTGAAATAGATCAAGTATGTAGCTGGAGTCCCAAGGACAGGGAATGCCTTTGAGAACATGCATTTTATAACTCTAATGCGCCAAGTCATGCTAATTTCTATTGGTTTCATTTTCATGCAAAGCACCACTGTCCTGATTAAAGAGCTCTTGCTATTAAACAGCGCGAGCAGTCAGGCATGTGGCTCATTAGACCTATAAAATTATCTGTTGTAATTGATCCCTCCTAAGTCCCACCCCCCTAACTTTATGTTGCATGGTAACATTGCTTCGCTGGTTCTGTTTTGCTTGGTTCAACATCGACTAAATGCCTTTTTTTTTTATAAACAAGACAAAAAAACGTTTCTAGTCACAGCTGAAACACAGAAGCAACTTTTCTTTTGTTTAGCAAACAAGCATGGCAAGACTATCGGTCCAAATAACTCCTGCATTGAGTTTTTTCCACATTTTTCCCATCCAAAGCTATTACGATCAAACACACTGCAGCAACTGGATCTAATAAAATATATAAATAAATGAAGCAGCTCACTATGTGTCATACTTTTTAGTTTTGGTAAAATAATCAAAACAATGGCTTCCACATGGTCCGGATATCTTTTACTTTTATAGGCCCCCTAATAACATCTTTTGCCTGTTTGCCAATATTTTCATCATAGACGAGCCTAGCACTTTACATATCTTGCTAAATCTAACAGGAAGGTGGACAGCTTAACAAGATGCAGCAGTCTGCTTATTGGAGCATGGAGGAAAAGAAAGCAGCTACCCAGGAGTTGTTCTCATTTGTTTTTTTCACCTCCTTCAAGTATAAAAAAGGTCTTATAGTCTATCACACTGAAAAACTCCTGATATTTGCAGAAAGAACGCAAACAGCGGAATTTTTCACTCAGACTTCTCCTGCTAGACCCCTAGTATTTTATAGCAAGTCAGAGTGAGCTGATGTGAGCATGCAGCAGGATATTATCTGGAGAATTAACCTCGAGCGACCGTCTGACAGGGATAGTCTCCAGCTGTGAAGAGCATATGTGAACAACCAGGTCAGGAGAATATCCGAAACAGTCCTCCTGAAATTTTCTAGATATTATCAGGAAGGCATATGTGAAAACAGCTTTAGAAACATGTTTACTGTCTTTTACGGCTTTCCTCACGAGCTCAGTATTGTACTTAATTTGCGGTTATAGAAGCTAAAAGACATCAGCTGATGAGTTTGAAGATTCAAACTATATTTCAGGATAAGGCTTTCAAAATGAATTAAGCACTTCATACTTAACTTTTAGTTGTGTGAGTCTGGAACTGTTATGGCAGAGAAGTTTGGACTGACTGTTGCGTGCGTGTCTGAATACATGAAAGATGTTGAAGGCAGCCTCTGGTGACTTGGTAGTCATCAATAATTTTTTTTTAGTTTTCAAGTTCAAGTTTCATCCATCAGCTCTGAAATGTTGTGAGAGAGGGTGAGGCAAGCTGAGAAATTCTAATGTAGAGATACAAGATCAGGTTAGGTTTGTTTATGACATTTTTAAACTTTGAGCTTGCCTTAATATTTTTTTTTCATGTAGTAGTTAGTTCATGTAGTTTATGATGACGTAATATATCAGCTGACCGAGCTGAAATCAAACAAAAAAGGCATCATTTCAAACAGAGCCATCAGAAGTCCAATCCTCCTCTGTGGTTTTATCTTCAGTGTCAAAAAAATAAATCAGTTCACTGTCTAAGTGCCACCTCCAAATAAGCCAAATAAATAGCTGCTGGCTCTTGGTTTGATAAACAAAACAGTGCTGGTCTCCTCAGAGAGTTGAGCTCCCAGAGGCTCACAGAGCGTCTGATGGAGGCTGACAGCCTTCTGAGGGAATGGTCCGACAAAAAAAACAGCGCAGCAACAAGGTGAATCACAAATGTGACGGATCCCTGTAAGGATGAGTCTATGATGAAATCGCAGTATTCCCTTTTTCCCCCATGCTGCCTGTCTGCGGAGGCCCTGCTGTAATTGGATGAGCAGAGCGCATTTCAAGAAATGTTCCTTCGTGATAGAAATGTGGAGGGTGACTTCAAAGAGCTGTCGCTTCATTTCGACTGCGTGTCAGCAGCGGACACAAAACAAAGGCGGATTATTCTATGCCTCCCAAATTTTTGTGACAGTTGTCTTTCCAGCCGCCAAAACTAATGAAACCAGCTTCTTTTAAGTTTTTTTTACACATATGTAAATATTTTTGATCCACAAAGAGCAAAATTGATCCATGAATAAAGTCCTGTAACAGAATGATGTGTTTCCAGCATCATCACTGCTCTTCTGATCTCATCCAATATATTCATTCTTTTACCTGAAGAACTCTTTTTGAAAGGGAAGTATCATGCCGATGTTTAATATAACAAGTGACGAGTTCAGCCCTTTGATTTACAAGAAATCAGCCACTTACAATAAAATAAAGCCTCCAAAACTGAAGTGTTTAACGCACAGTATGTCAAATCCACGGCAGGGGGCTGTCAATCAAAACAATAACAACAGATAATGTCGAGGCTAGCGGGGAATCATGGGAGTGATTCCCTCTGCTACTCCGACCGCCTTCCCGACCCCCCGGTGAAAACGAACTCTGTGTTGTCCGTAGTCAAGACGAACTGGCAAAACCGACCTGACAAAGTGAATATGTTTACCGACGATGTACCTGATTATAATCTACATGACGTTTTTATCAGAGCAGCACATACAGCAACAGTTCAGCAGCTTTCTTAATTAAGACCAGCAGTATTAGCTCACAAACACGAGTAAACTACAGGATTTACATTTAGTAAAAAATAACTCTTTAAATTGTAGACTAATTCACAAATAACATTTGTGAATTCTAACTCATCATTTTAATAAAGTTGTTCAAATCTGTATCGCCAAATCACAGATACTGCCTTCGATGTTATGAACGATGGAACTCTAACTGGCAACAGACTGTTTGGAGCATAGACTATATAAATGTGGACGTAGTCTCAGTGACGCCCTGTGATTGATAGCGTACAGACAGTCCAGGGTGAACCCCACCTTGCGTCCATTGGCAGCTGGGATCGGCTCCAGCCAGACGCAACACCAAATGGGAAAAAGCGGTATAGATGATGGATGGATGGATGGTGGACTTAGTGACATCCGCCATTGGTTTCAGCAGAGGCATTTTAAAGCAGAACGATGCCGGTCACCATATTAGACATGATTACTCTACTGTATGTAACTTCTGGTCAATAGTAACAAAGACAAGTAGAGTTTTTATCCTACTGGCAAGCAGCTACAACTCGCCCACCTATCAGTCAACTCAGCAGCGCCCCTTATTATGAAGATTTCAGTGGCTCAGTGGGAAAATGGGTCTTATCTCAAAAGGAAGGTCAAAGGTTGGATACCCAGCTCTTACAGTCACATGTCAAAGTGTCCTTGGGCACTGAATCAAATCGCTCTCACTGCTGCATCAGCAGCGTGTGAATGTGTATAAATGGATTAGTTAATACTGATGGCTTTACATAGCAGCTTCTGCAATCAGTGTGTGAATGTGTAGGTGTGACCTGCAGTGTTAAAAGCACTTAAGTACATACAAGCTAAAGTCCCATTACCATTTCTACCATTTTTAACCCTTGTTTAACAGCCAATCAAAGAAAACACCAGCAGGAGGAGCCTCCATTGTTTGTTTTGAAAGAAGTTTAAATGACTTCACTAATAGTAATCGCCTGAGCAGAAGGTTTTGTAAAAGTAAACAGATTGAACAAACAGGGTGAGGCTGAATAAAAGCCTGACTGTCATAACTGGAATTTTAAACATGCAATTCAAAATGTGATTAATCGAGATTAACAACTGAAATTTAGGGATTAATCATAATTTTAAAAACGTAATAATTTGACCGCCCTAAAGTAAACAGTTGTTTAAATGAGTGGAGGTGCATTCATTTTAAAACTATGACCGTCTAGTTTTCAGTTTTGGATAACCGACCCAGAAATCTTTGCCCTCGCTGACGTTGTGTCTTTGAAGAAGATGTGTAAAAGTGGGTCAGTCATTTTTAGAGTCACAGATGTTCTCCTGTCCTTTGACTTGCGTGTCCATGTGTCAGAGTCTTTATGCATAAATCACATGAAGCTGGAAACCCAAAACGCTGACCACTCACTGGGGTTCACTGCACGAGTGAACATTGGGTCACACAAAAACATGTGAACACAGAAATGTGACCTGATACTTGTTTGCTTGTCAGCTCTTGAAATCCATGAGCCTTCAAGGCCGAAACAAGCCCGTAATGGAAAAGTTATTACCACTCATATGCAGCAAAACTCTCAATAATTTATATGACATGGACTCAAACAGACACAGGAGCCTGATGCAGCCACTCACAATTCCCCTCTCTCTCCCTCACTCACGCACACGGCCTGTTTGTGTAAACACTGTACACCTCATCACTGTGGCAATACATCCATAAAAGACCACATTAGCACATGCAAGGGCATCAAAACAGGTGAATTAGAGCCCCGCCATGCTTTCAACACTTCCTCTTTCTTCTGTCTCTTCAATCCACAAACTCAAGGCCTTTCCCAGCTCCCAACTCTCTCTGTCTTTTTTTAAGATGAAGAAATGAAAGCAGAAAAAGGGATGAAGGGAAAAAAGTGAAAGCTATTCCAGTCAGAGTAGAAGAGGGTACACCTCAATGAGGAGCAGTGTGCGCTGTGCGTCACAGGTGTTTGTGCTCTTGTCATGTTTCTCCTTGACTGTGCAAGGACGAGATTTGACTGCGTTTTGCTTTTACTACCAACTATGCAGAGAGTACTTGTGGCCTCGGGGCCGCAGTGTTCAGTGGAACAAGGAGGGAGGAACAGAATTGCAAACTAGCGAAATAGGGAAGGGGGGGGGCATGTTGAATGAGAACATAAATCATCTGAATATTTGAATAAGACATATGGGTCTGTAAGCAGAACTGTGCTCTGAATCTTACAATCAGCAACTTAGCATAGTTGTTAAAGGAGCTGCTCTACATGAGAGAGGAGGGTACCATCAGAGTCTTCAATGTTTCCTGACACAAAGCCGAGAGAAAGCGGATGGATTATTCTAATCTCATACAACCTGTGTTTCTTTCCATTTTTTTCAAGTTTCAGCCATCATATTTAAGCAATCACATTTTATTAATTAATAGCTGAATATCAAAACGCAGTGACATCACGCGGAATAGATGTGTGAGGTACGGCTTGTGTAAATGGGCTAGTAAACGGTAAATGGATTTGAGCTTGTAAAGCGCTTTTCTAGTCTTCTGACTACTCAAAGCGCTTTTACACCTTCAGTGATTAGTTTGGCATGTGAAGTAGGTGTTTAAGATAGTAAGCATACACAATATTCAGAATCTGAATCAGCTTTATAGGCCAGATATGCTTACACACACACACACAAGGAATTTAACTTTGGTGAACTGTGCTCTCTTTGTACAAAGGTATATAACATTAGAAAAAGTATGGAAGAGCGCAGTACCATCCGCGGCGCCATCTTGGCACATCATTGCATATCACACCATTTACGTATTTATGTGTCACACATTACCACTGAAATCTGTTTTTGTCCAAACAGGCTGGTGGCTTTAAGAAAGGGCTGCAACATTTGGGGAACTCCCATTTTCCTTCAGTTAGCAAAAGGAGCGTGGCTTCAACGCTGTGGATCCACTACTAAGCTCCAATCTGCGCATGTCTAAGCTCCAAATTACGCCCCCATGTGATCACCTATCACTGGAGTATTTTGGCTTCACTTTTGTACTTTTGGAAGGCGACGCAGACACATTGTCCATATTAATAGACAATCAATGGATGAAGTTGATTTAAATTGAAGCAGACTTGGTCCATAACAGGTTTTTTTTTTAAGTCAGAGAACATTAGCTTCAGAGACTCAAAACAAACAGATGGTTTTATTGTTCAGGTTGAAGGACTTGCTGACTTTGTCTCAGCGATTAATTTCATACAATGTGAAAACAATTCCTGAACTGTAATTATTTCAAATTGTCCTTTAAAGAAAGATAAAGAGAGTAGAAGATTTCAGTGGAATGGAGGGCAGAATAAGGCTGCATGTGTGTGTTTGTGTGTGTGTGTGTGTGTGTGTGTGTGTTTGTGTGCAGAAGGGTAATTCAGTCCACCATGTCTGACCCTTAACAACTGTCCCCACCAGAGACAAGTCCCCTCGCTGTCAGCCAGTGTAATCCTCAGCCAGTGGGAAGAGTACGATACAATGTTCACCCCAACGTCATAACTTCGTGACCTGGAACTTTTTGATTGACCTCGGAGGGATTTGAGATGAAAGTGTGGGGCTAATGTGTGTTGGAAGGCTGAGAAGGATGTGTGCATGTTTGTGCGTTTCTGTAATTGTGTGTGAGGGGTGATCTGGGTGTTAAGGTAATCCTGCGAGAATCTGTATCTAAAGCCCTGTTGGATACACACTGATGGCCAAGCAGAGACACAGAGAGAGAGAGAGAGAGAGAGAGAGAGAGAGAGAGAGAGATGATTGTGGAAATATTAAGTCTGAAGTTATGTAAGAGATACATGGACATCCACAGCATCCCACTGCCACTACCTCATGCTTTCTTTCTCCCCCTCTCTCTCACACTCCTACATGTGCAGAGTGCACAGGACCTGAAGCGCAGAGAGAGGTTAATATATTATGACCGATCGCCATTCCAACCTACACATAAACCTCAAATAGACTCTGGACTTCTAGTACGTTCCAAGAAACACAGCAGATAGACGTTAAAGCCACAGAGAGATATGCTATTATGGCAGCCTCTGGCATAAGAGCACTGTTGAAATATTCATCAGATTTAGGATTTCTCGCATGACAAATCTTTTGATCAGTGGAACTCACCGAATATGGAGACTGGCAGGTTGACTGACATGAGGGGAACAGATGACTGGTTGGAGCATTATATCATATGACACAGTGAAATGTCATTATTACCGAGTATAAATTGTTGAATGCTAATATTTAGTTGTTGTAGCCAGTGGCTGTCAAATATGTTGCTTTAACTTTGGTCCCACCCAGTCTTCTTCTTTAATGTGTCAATTATGGATCCACAGGGAGAAATGAAACCAATTAAACCAACGCGCATGTCTTTGGACTGTGGGAGGAAGCTGGAGTACCCGGAGAGAACCCACGCATGCACGGGGAGAACATGCAAACTCCACACAGAGAGGCTCCTGTCCGACGGGGATTTGAACCAGGAGCCGTCGTACAACAGCACCACTGTGCAGCCCCTCATTTAATTCATTGATTTAAAATGTAGTTTTGGTCTTTCTTTCCCTCTCTGTTCATTCAAGGCACTAACTTCTCTGTCAGAAAACTAACCAACAGGTTTAGCTTCTCCTCCTGTTTTGATCTCTCTGCAAGACTGTGTGTGTGTGTGTATGGGGGAGGGGAGGGAAGGGGAGGTGTTACATGCTACTTAGCACAGTAGCCCAGTGACGCTGTGAGCCTCTTGCCCAAGTCCATTAGCGAGTCACAAACACAGACATATACGGATTAGGTGTCGTCACACCAAAGGAATGTGGACAGGGTTTCCTCATTATGAGTCGGCTCAAGTTCGGGAAGGAAATAAGAGGGGGCGTCAGGTGGTGCTTGGCCCGAAAGGTCGATGATACGGGAGAAGACCCTCACCCCCCCCCCAACACTCACAGAGCAGCTGTGCATCATAAACAAGCCAGTGAGCTGAACCTGGACAGACAGGGGGACAGACTTTAAATCATATCTGTGTTTCTTTAATCATGTTGCTTTAGTGATGTCGCTTGGTTAGCAGAGAGTCATTTCTGTCCGAGCAGATTGATTAACAGATTGATTTGCTTTTCCTCTGCATGATATCTGTTTGAGTATTCAGCAGCAGCTCCTCTCAGTGTCTTTGACCAAGGTGAACCATGACTAGATGGGGTTTTTTTTTCTTTCTGTCTGTCTGTGTTGGACTCGGAGCTACAAGGAGTCAGCTTGTAGGTTCAGCTGTGCAAGAGGAAGTAGCTCTGTGTATGAGGAGACACTGAGCACATGAGCAGGGACGACGCCTGTAGCAGCAGGTGGAATTTAGTCTCTCAAACTCTGTGTGTCGGATGATAAAGTAAAATCTACGCTGCACTTTCCACACCGCCATCCCTGTGATTTACTGCGTTCACCTTTGGGTGCTATACAGTCATTCTGTCATGGGCTGAACCCCTGCTCAGAAAATACCTCACGTCTCCTTCTTCTTACAGAAAAATGACTCCTCTCTTCTCACTCGGCTTGTTCTCTCTAACTCTGAAATAAATAACCTTCATGTTTCTTTTCCAACACACTGTTCTTTCATACTTTTCATGGGATTTCATATTTTCGGGTATTATGACCCATGATCCTTTACTAGTTAAGCCTTGTAATGTAGCTGATCTGGGTATCAGATCTTATTTAATGTTGCATTCATTCAAAGTTGCCACACATAGGGGTATTAGCTTATCAAGCCACTAAGCTGCCTGTTTAGACTGTTTTTGTTTTTTGCAACTCCAAGCAAGCAAATCAAAAAGTTTACGATTTGTCATATGACTTTATGAGAGGCGTGTCTGTGGATTTTACAACAGTCTGCATAAAACAACACCAACGAGGGAAATTGGAGGAAAGCCATGCCTCCACGTTTGGAGGCAAAAGTCCATAAAACGGTTTTTTTATACAGTCCAGGTTCAAACAGCACAAGATAACATGAGATAACATAAGATAGGATAGAATAAGATAATACTTTATTGATCGCCAGAGGGGAAATTCAAGTGTTGCTGCAGTTAAAAGACAAGAAGAAGAGCATGGGGGTGTTGGTGGCACGGGGGTTGGTGCGTGCGCCCCATGTGTGGAGGGTATGGTCCTCCGGGCGGCCCGGGTTCGAGTCTAACCTGAGGCTCCTTTCCCACATGTCATTCCCCACTCTCTCTCTCTCTCCCTAATTTCCAACTCAGTCTGTAGGGACTTGGGTTGGGAACCGGAGGGTCGCCGGTCCATGTCCCGGTGCGGACCAAATCTGGACGTTGGTCTGGTTTCTGGAGAGGTGCCAGATCACTTCCTGAGCACTGCCGAGGTGCCCTTGAGCAAGGTACCAAACCTCCCACCACCACCAGCTCAGGAGTGCCCACTGTGGTCAGCCCCCTCACCATGACATCCCTGTTGCGTGACTCATTAACAGAGTGTAAAAACAGAATGTCCCCTTGTGGAGATCAATAAAGTAAATCTTCATCTTCTTCTATCCGCTGTCCTGTCATTCCAATAACGGCAGAAAATGCCCAAAAACAAAATCTTAAAAAAAAAAAGAAAAAAAAAAAAAGAAGAAGATCACGCATATGAGTGCATATAAAATACAATATATTTCAGACTTTTAACTAGTATAAGCATAAAATAAGCTTTATAACTGTTATCTGCCATACTATACGAGAGATTTAGACAACTTAGTGTAGTGTGCATGAAATGATCCAGGGACTCAATGACGATGAGACTGAGACGAGTTCTATAAAACTTATGAACAGGGTTTGACACTTCAGGATACTGTAGTGTAAAGGAGGCCCGCACAGGACAGTGTGTCTGTTTTGCCCTGTTTTCTCTGACCTGCTATATAAACAGAACAGTTGTTGGAGGCGAGGCGGGCCCCTAATTCCAGAAGGAGGCGGGGGGGGAGTCGGGATGCTGCAGCAGACTGCCTTCTCCTGGAGGACTGCACAAGTCCATCTCATCTCTTAATTACTGTCGTCCCTGAGACCCAGCCCGCTAATAAGTGCCCCGCTACTGCAGCGGGCTGGAGACTCCGCTGAGCTCGAGCAGATGGAGAGAGAGAGACGCCCTCTGCTTCATCGCCAGGCAGAACGCAGAGGGCTCAACTAGGCCTTTCTTGACCATCTGGACTAATATTGAAAGCACATCCCGTACGCACAAACACACACACACTTTATTTTTGTAATAACACAGGCCATGCTACACCCTGTTCTCGGTCACAGCTGATTTGTAATAACATTTGTCATCATCATCAGCCCTGAACACCTTCATTAGAGACGCCAGCAGCGTGGGTACCTTGTAGAAAAAGTACAGTACATATGCTGCTGTACGCTCGACTAAACACGGGCCAGTATTAGTGTTAGGCCTATTACTGTACTCTGCCATACAAGGCTGGCCAGATAAAGTAGCATCCACACTGTAAATAGCAGTGCATCACTGTAAATACTCACAGCTTTAACCTGGTCAGTGTACGTAACTGCCTCTGCGCTCCCCTTTCTGAGAACATATGGGCTAATGAGGATCAATGGCAGATATGGGCCAGCATTAGCACAGACACTAACGCGGCTAATCGCTCTAACTTTCTAAGTTGTTCCTCTCTCCGCTGTGGACACACAAACCCACACACAGGCTGACCTCAATCATCCCTCTCAGGACCTGTGGATCCAAGGGCACAGGTTTTATTTCAAGGCACTTTTGATTAAAGTCAGGCTAGCTCACAATGGCCAAAAGAGTTTTGGTTTATAGTGAACTAATGACCCTTTCCTCTCCTGTCGTTGGCGAGACTGCGACAAAAGAAACACATTTTTGAGAGGAGAGTCTGCAGGTGAGCCAGAGTTACTGCAACCCTGCTGTGAGCCCCCCCCACCCCCCACCCCCGCACTGAGAAATTTAATCTCAGCCAAAACACAAAAATTATTTACAATATGTAAACTTGATCCAAACTCTGAAAGGGAACAGCTGTTAGAACAGTCAAACTGGAGTTTGCAGAAAGTTAAGTGAGCATAAATGCATCGCCTCAGAAAAATAAATTAGGTCTGATTAATCCTCTCAGTAAAATCAAGAGAGGATTTTTTTCTGTTTTCTCTGCATATGCACTAGATCAATAAATACGAATACAAAAAAACACACAAGACTAGAGTAGTTTTGAGTTTGTCATTTGGACAGAAAGAGGAAATAGGAGGAATATTTTCTTCATCCATAAAATTGGATGAGCATTTGCAATGTAATTTTTTAATGTCCAGCTACCTGCAAATTATATAAGGACAAACATCAGAGACTCTGAACATTTACTTCTTGATGTTATTTCTTTTATCGTGTAAGCAAAGTTTCACTCCTGAAAATTAGTAGATTTTTGCTGACACGGCAAAACAGGTTAATATTATAACAGATGAGATAGACTTTTGGATGAGGTAAAGAATAATGGAAATGATTGACTGTAATGTAATTACTTCATTATTTGCTTATGTTAAAATGTAAAGGTTCTGCAGATGAATGTAATGTGCCGTACAGTTGAGCAGCAGAAGCACTGATTGTTCATTGCATTCTTTGTGTAGCTTTCACAAAGTCATCACGCTCTAACCTGTGTGAACGGGACAATAAGTCGGCCCAGCACTTCAGTAATGCTGTGGTCAGCTAACAGCCAATTGTCAAATCCCTTAAGCTCATATAGCCGATGTAACTAGTGATCCAATAGTCTTAAAGGAAACAGGGACATAAATATGGTTAACTTAATAATTAATCATAATAAATAGACTTGTGTAAGTATGTTTCAAACCATGTGATATGTTTCTAGAATATCCAGCACGATTATTCACAAGAATGCAACTTAAAATAGAAAACTTATGTTGTCAATATTTGTTTCATATTAGTACATTTCCTTGTTTGCCCGAATGCGAAGAGGTTAAAAAAATGTTTTGAGAACTTTATAGCAGCAAGCTAATAATCAGGTTTACAGTATGTTAAAGGCACAGTACGTTAATTCTGCCGCCAGGGGGTTCACTCAAAACAATAACAAAAGATGACGTCAAGGATGGCAGGGGGTACTGCTACTCCATCCCCACCCCCGATGAAAAGGAACACGGAGATTACCGTAGTCAAGACGAACGGGTGAAACCAATGTGATCTGTTTACCGAAGAGCTAATGCATTCTTGTACAATTTACATGAAGATATTTATCACAGCAGCACATTCAGGAACAGTACAGCAGCTTTCAGCAGCTGTTCCCACTTTCTTAAGTAGCAGTCTTTGACATAACCTCCGGTGTTTCCACGGCAACAATAAACATGTTGTGTATGTTATGCCGGCTCTGTCATGGCAGTCGCCAGGAAAGACACGTCCCGTTACAACTATAAAATGAAGGATTTCTCTGGCTCTGATATCTGTTGGATATATTTGAGTCGAGGCAAGATAATCGTTACATCACGCCCACCTTTCAATCATGTCAGCTATACGCGCCTTACTATAGATAACGTATCGTTCATAAAATCAAAACGCGGCTGTGTAATAAAAACAAAAAACTACCCCCGTACAGTGTGTGCCCATGATAAAAATCACTAATCAGCTCTATATCGTTTTTTGTACCAGGCTGTAAATATGTTAATTTCTGCTGTAAAAACTGTGATTTTTGAATGGGGTGTGTATGTGACTTCCGGGGCTCTTGGAGCAGGACTCAAGCGAGCCCAAAAGCACTTCTGCATTAGCTTAATTTTTCAACACCGGAGGTTGCCGCTTGTTGTGAAGCAGGAAACACCTAAGCTACTCTCTTACCTGTTTTTATTGACTTAAAACATATTTAACTTTAAATCTAAGGTGAGCCAAATTCAACCAACCCTCTTCGGTACATTCAGCTCTAGACAAGCTAAAAACAAAAACACCACAGCCTCGGAGCCATCTTTTCTTAGTTCTGCTCAGTCTTTGAAAAAGTAAACCACTTCTGCTCTCTGTGTAGGTTCATCTCTGCTTGTTGTGCTCAAACCTGATCAAACTTTCAAAATAATTTATAAGGACCCGGCAATCTGAGAAACAGTTGCACAGAGAGAGCAGCTTTTATTTTTGTGTGCGCATCCCACCTTCTGAGGAATTTTCCATTCCGGCTGGTGTAAGTTCAAGTCATCTGTCAGTCTGCAGCGACTCCTCAAACTCCCTGTGTTCACCTGTCTGTCGCCACATTGGATCCAATCGTGTGTTTATGACGGGAGCTGCAGGTTGGTTGAGTGCATTCACTGTAATGTGTTTTTTCTATAGTCTATACTCAGGGGGAAAACTCATTTACATGTGCATGGTCATGTTTTCTGACTCGTATTACTGGGTCTGATTTTCCCATATAACCCTCCTGCAGGTCTGATTGCCTGATGAGAGTATGAAAAACATGCTGCCAGCTGCTGTGCTGTGCTGTAAAGCTTGCCAGCATCTCTCAGTTATATTGGAGTGAACAGCTGCTGCAGACTGGACAGAACAGAAGCATCACTGGTGACAGAAACTCGATTTCAGCTCACCTCAACCCACCTCGCGCACACAAACAATGTCCCGTAAAAACAACAGCACCTCAGAGTTAATGCAGATAAGTCCCATTAACCTTTGTGAGCTCGTTCCGCTCATCTCTGCCTGTCTTTCTGTATCCCTGGGTCTACGCTGTCCTTCACAGTCTTCCCATCTCTCTCATGAATGTTTGATGGCGCTGCCAGCTGCTCTCTAAGTCTGAGGGCGGCACGTGTTCTTGCTAACAAACACAGGCATTGTTTTTGCCCTCTGTGGAATTTGAAAAACAACAGCACTTTTTCATGTTTTTGTAAGAAGTCCAAAAAGACAGGGGTTTTGTTAAGGCAGAATAGAATCAGGCATGCAATGACAGTGTTTTTTTATGTAAAAGACACTGTTATGTTGTCAAAATACTGCAAACAGCAGCGCCTCAGTCATTTCAAAAACTTTCACAAATGAAGTGTAGGCAACTCTACCTCCCACTCAAATCACCCTGGCTGTGTTTTTATGTACAGACATTTCATTTTCTGCAGTCTCTCTCTCTTTTACCATGTGAGATTTCTTTCAGCAACGGAGGCATTCTTAATCATTCATTTCAGGACATCTGTTTGCCAATACAAATCGGTTGACGACGGTGTATGTCCTCCTACTAACACAAAGATTTA